CAGGTTGTCATCATGACATCAAGCCGCGTGAGAATTCGAACCGTTTGAAATTCCACGCGCCTTTTATTTTAGAATCTTATCATCAACCTTTATCCCCAACGTTTCAAAAACCTTGATATCTATAAAATAAATAAGCTCCTTTCGTTTTTGAGAAACGAACATCAGAAGAGCATATGAGAGCAAAACTGAAAAACTGAAAAATGTCATAAGAGTCACGAGCTAGACTTTTGAAAATCATACCAAAAGTACCTCCGTTAAACTGAAATGAGCAAGCAGATAAATCTTAACTCGATGTGATAAGAGTAAGGTAGCTCATGACAAATGTGAATTTAGCATCCTAATTGGGAAGAAATGAATGATAGATTCGATTCATTAAGGCTTCACATAGAGTTGAGTGAGGCTTCAGACAACATGCAACAGGATGCTTCTAGGGACACTTAGCTAATACAAAGATAAAGAATTTTATACCTACCCCATCATTCACTTGAACAAGAGAATCTAAATGAAAAATATATTGGAAAGAAAAGAAAATGTTTTTGTATTTTCATAGATAATAATACAAAACGAAAATAAAATGTTTTTGAATTTTGAAAAACGTTTAAAGAAGAACATAAAACGAAACAAGAGTAATATACAAAATATTCACAGAGAATAGACCACGAGAGTTTGCTTCAAAAGAATAGTCGTGGCACGAAATAGGGCGAACGTTCGTCTAATTTCGGTTCACAAAAATTGGAAACAAAATAAAACGAGCGTTCGTTCTATTGCGCTTGTCAGTAAAATTGAAGGAGAACCGGTAACCCGATAGTGAACGAGCTACCATATAAGGTTGTGAGGATTTGCTTGGAATTTGCACAATAACAGATGGAAAAACATAATATCTGGTCTACTAGTTGTTAGATACATTAAAGGACCAATCATCTAACAATAAAGAGTCATAACTGTAGCGGGTTTTTCTAGAGATGGTGTAAGTTTCATTCCGAATGCCATTGGAACCTTCACTTTAGAGTCACCCACCATGCCAAACTTAGAGAGTAAATTTTAGGTATACACTTCCTGATTAATGAAAATACCTTCTCGACCCTGCCTTATATTCAATCCAAGGAAAAAATAAATAGGACCCATTGAGTTCATCTTAAACTTATTTTCCATCAGTTTTCAGAATTCAGTTGTGAGGCGAGGATGAGTAGATCCGAAGATGATGTCATCAACATAAATTTGGACAATCATCAAGTGGTCACCCTCTTTCTTATGAAAGACGTTTGGGTCAACCGAACCTTGTTTAAATTTAGACATTTTAAGGAAACGAGTAAGAGTTTCATACCAGGCTCTCGGAGCTTGCTTCAGTCCGTAAACTGCCTTATCCAGAATCTAACAATGATTGGGATACTTATCATTAACAAAACCAGGTGGTTGTTCAACATATATTTTTTCTTCTAATTCCCCATTTAATAATGCACATTTAACATCCATCTGAAACACTTCAAAGTTCTTATGAGCAACATATGCTAAAAATATCCAAACGGATTCCAACCTTGCAACAAGTGTGAAGTTTTCTTCGTAATCAATACCCTTTTCCTGGTAGTAACCCTTAACAACTAGTCTCACCTTTTTCCTTATTACATTCCCTCTTTATCCAACTTATTACGAAATACCCATTTCAAACCAACAACTGATGCATTAGGAGGAGATGGAAATAATCTCCAAACTTTGTTTCGTTCGAACTCATTGAGTTCGTCTTGCATTGCTTGAACCCAATCAGAATGATCAAGAGTAGTGTTGATGGATTTGGGTTCTTTCTTGGATACGAACAAACTAAACATACTGAATTCCACTTTGGAGAATAAAGCAGTTCATTTCGCTTTTATTTGAGATTCCGTAAGAACACATGTAGAAGATTCACCAATAACTTGGGTTTTTGGGTGATCTTTGGTCCATTTGATGAGTGGAGGATAATTTGGATCATAGGAGGGGTCCAATTCAACGTTTACATCCTCAAAATTTGATTAAACATCCGAATCATCATTCACATCCTTGTTCTCCCCCTCGAATGACGAGTGATCTCATTAGGATTTGAAGTGTCTTCTTCACTCTGCAAAGGAAAGTTTGTTTCTTCCGTAGTCGGTTGCTCCCCCTGAGGAGGTGCTTTAAAGTCCAAATCCTACCCCTGGAATGGAATATTAGTGTCTTGAGGCACATTCGTGGTTGGTGTTTGATTATTCATGTTATTTGTTGCTTCATCGATTATCTTCTTCAATTCATTTTCTTTGTTATCAGGTGCTTTTGCTTCAGATGTGATCGCCTTCTCAGGTTCATCAAATAGAAGCATAAACTCTTCATAAAGATTAGCCAAGGGAATAGCCACTTGGTTCGTTGAAGTAAAGATTTATTTTTCTTGACAATCATTCGCTCGAGTCTTCTTTAAATAATTATCATCAAATGTGACATAATAGGTTTCTTCAATCTTTTTGGATCTTTTTTTGGGAACCCTATATGCTTTTGATGTTAGCGAATATCCCAAAAAATCCCTTCGGCAGCCTTCTCATCAACCTTGTTTCGTTGTTCCTTTGAATTAAAAATAAAACACCTGGAAATGAAAACATGAAAGAACATGATGTTAGGTTTTCATTTATTGATGATTTCATAGGGAGTAATAGAAAATCTTTTATTAAAAAGAGATCGATTTTAAGTAAAGCAGGCGGTGGCAACAACATCAGTCCAGAAGTAAAGTGGAAGTGATGCGAACGAAAGCATCGTCCTAGCTACTTCACACAGTGAACAGTTTCATCTTTCAACTATTCTGTTTTGCTGTGGAGTATAAGGAGCAGAAAAATTATGACATACTCTCTTGTCAGTGAGGAATTATTTGAATGCTTGGTTCTTGAACTACAGACCATTGTCGCTTCCAACATTGCGAACTACCTTTCGTAGTTGTAACTCAGTTTGTTTGATGAAATCTTTAAGTCTAGGAGTCGCTTCTGATTTCTATTTAAGAAAGAACACCTAAGTGAAGCCAAAAAATTCAACTACAACAAAGAGAATATATTTGTTACCACCAATACTTTTGATTGCAAATGGGCCACAAAGATCAATATGGAGTAGTTTGAGTGGCTCAATGACCTTCGTGTTCACTATAGAAGGATGACTTTTTATGCTTTGTTTTCCCATTTCACATGTAGCACAAAGACGATCCTTGTTGTATTTCAAGAGAGGAAGACCTCGCATATGATCACCAAGAACTTGATTGTTGATGTCTTTGAAGTTGAGGTGTGAAAGTCTTATATGGCATAGCCAACTATCATCTGTTGCAGCCTTAATTAGCAGACAAACAGAAGGTTTCCCTTGTATCGTTTTGATGTCTAATGGATACATATCACCTTTTCGTCTTGATTTGAGCGGCACTGATTTCGTCTTCTTCTCGATAATTCCCGATCTTTCATCATCAAACGAGACCTTTAGAATGGTACCTACTACTAACTATGAAACACTTATTAAGTTGTGTTGCAGTCCCTCAACATATGCCACCTTGAGAATCGAGAAATCACCATTTTTTATCATGCCATATCCTTTGATTTCACCAAGTGCATTCACTACTAGAAAATAGACCTCTAATGACGCGTTTTTTACGACAGGCGCTGATTAATGATACGCAAAAGGACTTGCCCTTAAAATAGAGTTATCTCTCCAAAAAATTTAAGGATTTACGTCACGCATTATTGCATGCCCTTAATTTAGTGTCTCAAGAAAAAAATTAAAAACACGGAGGGCGCTTTATCTTAAACGCACGTCGTCTGTACCTGTTGCTTTATAATTTTAATGAAATGCGCATTTAGTAGAAAAGGAGGAAACGAAATCCCCAAAATTTTGAAAACCCGCCTTGTTTTTTCTATCTTCTATCTATTTTTCATCCTTACAGTTCACTCTCCCCTCTCTGATACTCTCTCCTCTAGATCTCCGTTCATTCTCTACCTCCCGTCTCATTGTAAACCACGAAGGTGAATCGTAATTGATCTGCGAAGTCTCCTTCTTTTTTTTTCTCAGGTACGACATCATCCCAATCCATTAACCCTTTCATTTTTCATTAAAAAACCCTAATTGACTTGGCAAGTTCATGAACCAGATGTAGCAAATTCCAAACTGGGGATTTAACCAAACTCGATAGAGCCATTGACGGAATCTTTGGATTCGGTCAACAAGGACTCTCTGTAATCGCGTAGCTTTCCTCACATGGGATTGCTCCAGGTCTTCAATCTATCAATCTACAATGGTAATTGTCAAGTTACATCGAATCAAGGTCTAGGGTTTCAAATGCTTCAAGTTCTTCCCAAATAACTTCCCCTCTCAAGACGATTTTCCTCAAATTTCTATCGAACTTGGTAGTGTTGAATCGGTGTGTATCGGTGTCAAGAACCTGCCTCGAGATCTGTTGCATTTATGAATGAGGAAGATTTGGTAAGGCAGCTCAGTCGATATTCTACCTCTGTCGTGTTTTCAACACATAAAACACAGGCAAACCTTGAAGAGAAATTTCAAGCTTTTGAATAAGAATCCTCAAAAACCATCGTAATTTCAAATGAAACCCCTCACCCTAGAGTCCAGACGCTTATTCTATGTCGATAGCACATAAAATCTAGGTTTTCTATTGTTTCTATCGACCAGAGACTTTCAATGGAGAAGACAAAATCTGGAAAGAAAGATTCAGATGCCTAGAAATTCAAATGCATAAACAAAGTTTTTTGATGTATTGTTTCTATCTACTTTTTTTTTCTAGTGAACTCTATGAATTAATTTTTCTCATATGTGTTTAGCATGTCTCAAATCAAGAGATGAATTGTTGATGTGCTTCAACCTGGGGAGACAGTAAGTTTCTTGTTATGTCAAATTGTTCAATTCTATTTTATTATTTTTCAAACTGATTGATGAAAATAATAAGTATAATATTCTTTTCAGGTGTTGCAAGCTTTAAGAAGGCTGAAAGGAAGTTCAATAGAAAGGAAAAGATGTTAGCTGAAACAAAAATTGTGTCTGATCAACTAACTGAAGATGCCATGAAGCTGATGGAGGATGTTGACTACAGTTGAGATAATCTTCATTCAACATTTTTCTTTATATTTATTATAAATTTGTCAACATTCTGATTTATGTAATAAATATTTATGTAGATGTGTATGATGAAAAACAGGAGGTCTTTCAGAGGGAAGCAGGTAATTAGCATTTCTTTATAAGTTTAATAATGAAATGATTTAAATATCAATAATACATTATTTCTTATATTCTTAATTATTGGGAATGTTATTACTAAAACTCTGATTTCATTTGTTTTTATAATTACAGAGGGATTTGAGAACCTAGCACGTGCTAGAGGGGAAGGGACCTCTTCTAGTTCAGGAAACAAGCAACCTAATTCCTTTGGAATGAGTGATTCCGGTCTCAATGGAATACCTTCCGCATATAATACTGCAAACAATGAGGATGATTGCTTTGACATGTTTGCTGAAGATGATGACAAATCTACTATTGATCCATCAGCTAGTAAGCAGTCATGAAGTTTTTTCGTTTTTTTCATTCAGATGGTTTATTACAATATTGCCCCTCAATTCCGTTTTTACTTGCAGGCATTGGATCTACAGAAAACGATTATGTATTTGATGAATCCTCAGGGTATGCATCTCTTTTTGTTTTCCATTCAGATTTATATTTAGTCAAAAAGAAACAGCATCTTATTGTTTCTGTATTTTTATTTTTTAATTTTTTTACAATTACTACTACAACAGCAGTTTAGGATATTATTATGACCCATCTTCAGGACTGTATTGCAGTGCATCATCTGGACAGCGGCAATATATTATATAATGTGGTCACTATTTTCAACCTGATTTAGTATTATTTGAATTATAGTGATTTTGATTTGGAGATAAAATGTGGTTACATATAAAGTAATGTGTTTGTGTTTTGTATTTTCCAGGTGTTCTTGTAACCAAGAAACTGGTGCCTATGAGGCGTTGCCATCAGGGAAGGCAATGGAAATGGAATTGCAACATAGTGGAATGGAATTGGAATCATTATTTTCAACCTGATTTAGTATTATTTGAATTATATTGATTTTGATTTGGAGATAAAATGTGGTTATATATAAAGTAATGAGTTTGTGTTTTGTATTTTCCAGGTGTTCATGTAACCAAGAAATTGGTGACTATGATGAGTTGCAATCAAGGGAAGGCAATGGAAATGGAATTGCAACATAGTGGAATGGAATTAGAATCACAGGTTTCGCATCCTGCTGTGCATGGTACTTATGGAAGCTTCATTCAAATTTCAACATGTTTAGGGTTGATGGGAGCTCTTTTAATCAGGATTCCTGTAAAGAGCATCTCAGGTTGGTAACAAAGCATTGTCTACCTCTGAAACTGTAATTAACATTTTAGATTTGGATTCATTTTTTGAATGTATATCCAGGTGGCGTATCTGCTTTTGGTTATCTACAATTCCATCCATAATACTTGCTCTTGCTATGATATTCTGTGCAGAAAGTCCACATTGGCTTTACAAGGTCTATTAAGTGTCATCGTCTTCATTTCTATTTGTTGATAAAACAAGGGCATATTTAATGCTGAAATTTGGGTGCATAATCTGTGCATCGATCAACTGATAGAAAAAAAATTCAGCGATTATGTGTATAATTTGGGTGCAAGGAAAATTAATTTCACCAAAAGTTCGTGATCAAGAGGTAAAATCATCAGCAAAAAGTGTAATCAGTTCTGATTTTTATTCCGTTTGATACTTGAAAATCTGCTTGTAAGTCACTTCTAAATAGCGTAGTACTGTAATTTCAAGTCTTTTACTGTGGCAACTTATGAACTCCATTATGTTTGACATATGATTAGAATGGCTATGGGGCGAGCTGGATGCAAAGTAAAATTGGTGATTTGGGTTCCAATACAACATTAAAGGAACATCATTTGTCATTACTGTGTGATGGATTTGATAAAGCATCATCAAGAAGAATCAACTGGCATACCAATGATGATATTTCATTGAATTATTTTCTTGGCTTAAGAAAAGATTGTTCTTAAAACTGCTCTGTGGAATGAAAAGAATCAATGTGGAATGAAAATAATTTGTTTACTGGATGTGTTGATGCGCCCTTAACAAGAAAAGGAGTAGAATAAGCAATTGAAGCTGGAAAGAGAATCAGTACAATGCCATTTGACATTGTGTACACGTCAACATTGGTTCGTTCTCAAATAACAGCAATGCTTGCCCTAACCCACCACTGTTGCTAGAAGGTATTTCTATTTTACCCTTCTGCACTTTCTCAAAATTACATGAGCAAATTAAACAAATGGAAGTTGCAGTTGAGATGATGGTGCTAAAGAAGAGATTCACCAGGTGTATTGTGTGTCTGAAAGAACAGAAGGCAATCCCTCGCTAGGTGTATTTTGCTAAAGAAGACCTTCTGCCCAATTCATTATATTTACTTGTGATTCTTCTCGGTTAATGATATCAGGACATGAGAGAATGTTATATGTAAGAAATCCTTATGTTTCTCTCAAATGTTAAGTTATGTAATGATAATGATATATATTTCTTTTCAGGTTGTTGATGTTGGAAGCCAGAATTTAAGTCATTGATTCATCCCATGTTGTAAGGAGTCAAATTCAGAATTACCACCTGTAGTCAACTGTTTTGGAAATGAGTATATATTCAATCTAGAGACACAGAGGTAATTATCAAATAATCTAGCAAGTATATGTGTATGTATAATATTTGTAGGGCTAATCTGATGTAATTTTGTTTTTATGTTTGAGCAGGCAACACTAGTTCATTACAAAAGGTTAATTTTTTTGCATTCCCTAAGTTTATTTTTAAACTATAAATACTTCATGATGAAATGTTGTATAATGTTTATCTGGATAAAATCCTATTTTATTACAAGAACGTACCATGGTTGCTGCTTTAGGTATGTTCACAGATCATTATTTTGAAATATTTGGTGGCAGTTTGTTTAAATGTTTGTTGTTGACACAGACAAGAGTTGAAGACATGGAAATTGAGTTATCGGATAATAAGGGCATAAGATTGTCCCATTGTTCAAATACATTGAGAAAATGAGAACAACGACCATACAAATAAACAAGGAAATCAAGGTGTGATTCATCTTTTTTATGTATATAAATAATAATACCATGAATAGACATTAAATTAAAAAAGGTCAATGTTGAGTGCTTTTAGCCAGCTGGCAGTTGCAACACTATTAGGCCCTGAAAAGGAGAGAGAAATCAACTGGTACTTACAGCCTGGACATAAGGAGAAGCTGATTGGATAGTTGACACCAATTATTCACAAGATTTCAGAGATTGTTTTACGTTGTGTTATTAGTGTAAGTAAAATTAATCCGTTTCATATTAGTAAATGTACTCATGCAAAATGCTTGGTCCATAAACATTACAGCCATAGGGCTATCACCTAAGGATTGGATATAAGTTCCACCAGCATGAATTTTTCCTCTTCTGTTTTATAAATTATCATCATCACTCAATCATGATGGCGAAGCATGAGCTTGTATAACATCATACCTTATTCGGTCATGGCTTGCATCCATACATTGCAATAGCAAGAACTAGGTCTAGGTTATGCATACACAATATATTCTTAAAACATCTAACTAGTGATGTGCATGCTATTTTTAGGTCTGTAATGCAGGCAGAGAAAGGAACATCAAACTTTTGAGGTACAACAGTTTGCCCACTATATCCCTTCTTTAAAAAAAATTGTTACGGGCACCAAAAGAGTTGGATTTTGGGATATGAGAGATCAGTTAAGGTTGTTGAAGAATTCAAGAGTTTTGCAGTAGAAGGCAATGTATATGAAACCATATGTTCCAAGATTGCCCCTTCCATATTTGGCCATGAATATGTAAAAAAAGTTGTGGCACGTCTCCTGTTTGGAGGATCAAGGAAGGTATAATGCCAACTTTACCCTTGAATATTGTTATCTGTACTTAATCATTTAGGAGCTCATTTCCTCTATTTCTACAAACTTTACCTGATGGTGTAAGATTGAGGGGTGATATCAATGATTTGCTCTTGGGAGACCAGAAGACAGGTTGGATTAAAAATTAAACAAGGTGCCTCTTAATAGCAATGTAATGATAGGTTAGATAGTTAGGGATTGTATTTTATGCAATGGATTGTTATTTTTGTATATGATTATTTGTATGATATTAAATTTTATGCCATGGATTGTATTTTTTGTATATGATATTTTATTTTCTATTATGAGACATTAAATACAAATTTAATTTGAAAATTAGTAAATCTATAAATAATATTTTTTTAAACATTTAAAATTATGATACGCAAAAATGTGTGTCATCTTCATTTATGACATGGCCTTTCTTGATAGGGGCTTTCTTGATACGCATTGCGTGTCATTAACACGCGCGTCGTAAGGTTACGACACGCGAATGCATGTCGTCTTCCTTTATGATAGGGCCTTCCTTGATACGCATTACGTGTCGTAAACGCGTGTCGTAATCGCACGTCGTAAATGAGCATCGTAAATGCACGTCGTCTATAGACGACATGCAAAAGCGCATCGTCTATCTTTATGACAGGGCCTTCCTTGACGCACATTTGTGCGTCGTCTGAGCCCTTTACGACGCGCAATGAGCGTCGTAAAAGGTTGTTTTTCTAGTAGTGATTGTTGCCAAACTTCACAAGACCACCATTCCTCAGTTCTCTATATTTTGTTAGCTCTTACTTTTATCCCATCATGTGACACAAACAACCACTGTCAATATACCATTCAGTATCAAACTGTTTGTCATGAATGTCCTACAAAAATTAAGCAGATTTAGGAACCCAAAGGTGCTTGGTTCCTCGTGAGCCTTTTACAGAAACTAGATAAGCGATAGAGGAATCAATCATATAGGTCCGTTTTATTAAATTTGTTTGATCTTTCCTCTTTATTGTGAAAACCTTGATCTTGTTATTTTTTGTTTCTTCAGAATCAGATTTGATTTCTTTATTTTTAGCTTGATTCTTGACGAATTCTTTTTGAACTTTCCTAGGGTTAGTAGTTGATTTCTTTGTTTGAACTTTAGAATTCGAGACTAACTTTACCTTTCCTTTGACATCATTTGATGATGCATTTGAGTGATGGGATTTTAGTTACTCAGTTTGCTTCTTTTGATAAGAGGGTTGTTGAGCGAAGTTCGCCTTTAAGTTGCAGGAGTGACAATGAGTACACTGACTTGGATTTATTTTTGAACGAGCTTTCGTACTTTGATTTGAAGGTTTTTCTCTGTAAACATAGTTGGAATTTTGAGATTGCCAACATTTCTTCCTTACATTGAGATTGTTCTGGTATCTTTGATTCCATAATCGTTTTTGCTCAGCGAGTAATTTAGCGGACTTGTGAATGTTTACTTGAGGTTTCACTCTCTTGGCATCGCTTTCGTCCTTCGCTGATTGAGGATTGGTTTCGCTTTGAACTTCCTTGGTACCACTCAGGATTTCTTTATCAATTGCCGAAAGATTGTTCAGTGGTTCTGCCACATATCAACCTTTAACTCTCCAAGAGGTTCTTTCAGAAAGACCTTTCATTTCTTCTGCATTATCAATTGGTGCGGACCAGAAGAACTCATCACATCCCTTTTCGTTGTCTTCATTAACGATGGATGTTAGTTTGACAATTTGATTTTTTTCTATTCCTCCAGTGGCAAACACTAGATTTGGTACAGTTTGGACTTTTAGGAAAAACAGTTGTTTTCGCTTTTATTGTTTTTGGTTCATTTTGAGAAATAAGTGCGAATTCAACTGAATTTTCAGAATTCAAAATTTTCACTAGTTGAGGTTCATTTTTAACAAACTCTTTGCAATCAACTTCGTCCTCTACTGAAATTTCGCTCATATCACTGTCCTGATCGAATTTAGAGCTACTATAAACATTTATTTTATTTTCTGAATTCAATTTGGCATTCAACGAGTCAAATTTTAGAACAAAATCAGATTTGATTTGCTTCTTATCGTTTTCATTCAAAAATTGCTTCATCATAGTTTTGTGGTCTTTGGACTTAATGTAAGATTCAATTCGTTCTGGTCCAACCCTATATGCATCAGGAGTTTCTTCACACAAAACTATGGATTCACAATTGTAACAGTCGGCGTCTATTTCAACTTTCTTTAATTCAAGAAAAGGTAAGATCATTTTGTGAATTTTCTCACCAATTCCACAATCAAGGTGCAACTGAGTAATGTTAAAGTAATGCCTTTTAGCAATTAAATAGAAAATGTTGCGTTGTTTCAAAAGCTTTAAATTGTCTCTTTGTAAATAAATGGACTCATCCCTAGACATAGAAAGCTCATACTCTATCTTCTCAATCCACATTCGCCCTCATCGCTTTTAGATGAAACCCTGTTCAATTGATTGGTTAGGTTTGAGTTTGTTAACCGTGTTCGTTTCAGACTATCACTAATGTTTGAAAAAGTAAATT